CAAGAGTGGAAAGTTCCTTCCCATTGAAATGATTCCAAACTGCAGTTTCTCACAATCTGTGATTTCAGAGACAAGGTGTGTCAGCACAAAGTCCTCAATATTAATTAACAAAAGCAGTTTTTACAGGTCATCCTTCCTACCTGAAGTAAAGAGTGGGAGGAAAAGACCGCGCTACCCAGGAGAGAGGTCCTCAGAAATGCAAAACACCCCACTTGAGAACAGGGCCATCGGTTGCTGGGTTTGGATTTTGTTTCAGTCCTTGGTTGCTCTTTAAAGGCAGAATCAGAAGGGGATGATGGTTTGAAAATCTCTACCTTTAGGGTGCTGAGGACAGAGGGTTGCAACAACTTCCAGAAGGATTTGGGAATTCTAAATTAACCAGGGTCCATGACTACAAGGACTTCCTCAGATGACAGATTCTAATAACATCTCTGGTGTGTTAATTCAGGAGCCTCCTGTTCACTCTATTAGCAGCAGCCCGAAGGCTCCCAAACTTGTTTCCTAGGCTTCATGGGAAAGTAGGAAGGTGGGAAGCTGTCGTCACAGAGATGTCCTCTGCAGCTAGCCCCAGGACTGGGGACAGGGTGGGGGTGCTACTCTGGGAGATGACACAGGAGGGATGACCTCAAGGACTTGCTTCAAAGAGAACAGAGAGATAAGAACAGAACAGCCTGGGCCAGAGAAGGACCCAGGGGCTAAATTAAAGAAAGGCTGAGGGGCCGCCCCATGGCTCAGCAGTTAAGTGCCCACATTCCACTTCGCTGGCCTGGGGTTTGCTGGTTCAGATCCCAGGTGCAGACATGGCACCGATTGGCAAGCCATGCTGTGGCAGGCGTCCCACATATAAAGTAGAGAAAGATGGGCACAGATGTTAGCTCAGGGCTAACATTCCTCAAAAAAGAAAAGAAAGGCTGAGAGAGCTTCTCTGATGTACCCGCACTTGACCATGGGTCACTTAACACCACGTCTGACATATAATTGTTTAGTAAATGAAGATTAAATTCATAGAACTTGGGGACTAGGACTTTTATCATGTCCAACCTTTGCTTTACTTCATGGATGAATTTTTTAAGCATCTGTGTGGACCATGAACCCCCTTGTGGTTGCAAAGGATCCTCGAATCCACATATGCACCAAACATTGTCTTTGCACAGAATAAACATGTCTCCCACAGCAAATGGACGTAGATGCTATTGCAACTCAATATAATTTTATTCAAAAGTGCTGCTTAGCTCAGAGCAGCTTTTTGTCACACGTGTGCTCGAAGACTGATATTTAAAGAGCTACAGGTTTTAAAACAAAAATTCATTATAATTAATAAGTTTAGGACCACTACTCTCCAGCCTCAGCTACCCTTCCTGACCTCACAGGGCAGCTCATTCCACTGCTGAGCAGCTGTCGCTGTTGGTGAACATTCCTGCCTCGTTTAAGTTTCATCCTCTCTCCTGGATTTCCACTCAGTTTGTGCAGTTTCTGTCCTCAGGACTCTTTGCAGAGGGAAAGGCTAGGATTAACACTACCTCTCTTATAAATCTAGTTATTTATAGATACTGCAAGTTTGCATATTTCTATTAAAAAATTTTTTTGTCCTCCTCTTTGTACATCTCCTAATTGGAAGGGGAGCTAATCCTTTTAAAGAGAAGACTGAGCAACAGGGACTCATTATTTTATAAACCTAGGGCTAAGGCACTGTCTCTTCACCCCAAGCTCTCCATGAAGCAGGGGCTCCGCATTGCACGCCTGCTCAGATGTTTTGTGTTGGTTCGTCTGGCATGCCCTTCATGCTGTAAGGACAGGGAGTCCAACCTGGAGTGGGCGCTGAGGCCTGTACCAAGAGGAACACCGAACCCATGGTTTGAGGGCATCCCACAGCACCACCAGTGGCCGTTCACTAGGAGACTCCTCTATGGGAAGCCCTTCCTCCACCATTTTTCCAGTAAGCCTCTTTATTGGGCCCAAGTGCAGGCTCAGATTCCCACCACTTGCCTTGGGCAGCTTTGTTTCCTCAGATTTCAGAGCCGTTACTTGCTCTGAAGCTGGGCCTCCGAGCACCCGAGTTGTTCCCTGGGATTAGTGGGCGCTGGCATGCAGCCAGACAGGCCCTTGTTCCTTGCGCAGCCTACAGGAATTGGTAGGGACCTGAAGGCCTACAGCCCTGCTTGTACTCATCTTCGCAATGAGTAGTGTACTTCTCCTCACACTGATGTATATAGGTGCAGTTTGCATACAATTTGCATGTTCTCGGTCATTCTGAGGAGACTTGAGATTCACTCCACCCCCAAGGACCCTCACCAAGGTTCAAGCCAACAAACATTCCAGTGCCAGGTGCTGGGCTAGGGAAGGGAGAGGAAAGGTGAATAAAACATAGTGCCTGCCTGCAAGGAGCTCCCAGACAGGAGAGATAATGACTAGAGTATAAATGTCATCAATACGACATATTTGTATTTGAAAGAGTCCAAAATGCTGTGTGGCACAGCAGCAATTCTTCTGGGGAGAGAGTGGGAGAAGCCTCTGCGAGGAGGTAATATTTGAAGAGACCTGGGTCTTAAGGCAGAAGAAAGGACAGTGGGCTACAGAGCCCCACATTGCCCAATTTCAGGGGATCCCTTTCACATTGGACTCTGGAGGAATGGCAACCCCTAAAGCGATGCAACTTGGAGGTGCTGTGGGGTGACGTTCCAGGCCAGGGGAATACCATGGTGAAGGTATCAACACTCTGAGAGGGCAATGGGTTTTTTACTTCCACATGTATCCCAGCCTGTGAAATGTTTTGTCCCCAGAGCTGACAAAGTTTAATGAGATACACAATTGCTAAACTACCCCTGCTTCAGGCCAGCACCCAATCCAGAGCTGTCCTTACCTCCTGTGGGCTTTCTTCAGACTCATTCGGCACAAACACAAGCCCTATTCAAAGCCCCTCCTAGCCCCTCTTGGGGAGATGCTCCTCTGTCCTCCACGGTGTGCAGTCTCCCTTGATGCAGCAAGTTAACAAGTCTAACTTGGACTGCCTGTGTGTTCCTAGTGGTCTTTTTTGGGTAGGCTTTATCAGAACTGCTGAGTTCAAGGCATTTCTTCCCCATGAGGCCAACTTATAAAGAGATACTATACCAATTTCCGTGTGATTACTATGTGCCAAGAACTGTGGTGTTTCATTTATATTTTGTATTTTATTCCATTTTTCAAGACAACTCTATGAAGAAGGCATCATCATTCCCATTTTACAGATGAGGAAACTAAGGCTCAGAGAGATTAAGTAACTTCAGTAGCACACTGCTAGTAAATAGAAGAGCTGGAATTAAATCCAAGTCTTTTCCAATGGGTTATCTATCCAGTCAAACACGGTAAATGTTAAAGACGCTTATGAACAAAGGGATGAGGGGTTTCTGAAGGACCTTCTGAAAAAGTAGGGGGAGCTATCTTAATGTTTAAGGTAGGTCTCACAGAGTGAGTCTGAGTTTGACAGGTGAAAAGGTGGAAGAATGGCACTCTAAAAAAATGGAATAGCATGTGCAAAGCTTGGCATTGAAAGGTTATGGTGTATTCGGAAAACAGCAAAAAGCAGATGAGGCTAAAATAATTCTAGCTGGCAGCATAGAAGCATGGAGAATGGAAACAGGAGAGGTGAATTGCAGACAGGAGAGTGAGGTACAAGGCTGTCTCAGAAATTAGGCAAGAGCTCGTGAGGGCTGGGACTACAGAAGGAACAGTGGGAATGAAGATAAGAAGCTGAATTCAAAAGATATTTTGCAGGTAGCATAAGCAGGATTTGAGAATGGATTAGTTGCTGCAGGCAGACCCTGGAGTGAACCCAGTCCAGAGTTTAGGAGATTTGAAGGGATGATGATCCATTAAATGAGATGGCAAAAACAGGTGGTAAAACAGGTTTGGGAGGTCCAGAGAAAAGGTGGGAACGTGGAGCTGATGGCAAAAGCTGGGAGAAACACTACATCCATGCCTATGGGGAAACGGAAGTGAAGAGGATGAGACAACTTTATCTGTAATTCTTTACTCTTCTTACTTCAAAAATAACTTGAAGCACTTGTAAACATCTGGGGTGGTACACACAGGTGCTTATATTAGTTTCTGTAGTTTTTACTTTCCCCAAAATTAGCGCTTGGAGTTAAAAGAAATTACCTACTAAGCCTTTGAAGTACCTACTATGCGCTTGGCACTGTTCCAGGCATTTGGGATATTTGCCCCCTTCTACTGGCCTCTTCCTTTAGAAGTTACCAGGCCTGGAGTTCAGAAACGGCCTCTGATTCCAGCTTGGTCACCCGAAAGTCGCTTTTCCTACCTGGGTCTCCTTCAGCTCTCAAATCTCACGGTTTAACACTACAACTGCACCTAAGCATTCCTTCCTCTCAGAGGTGGTCCCCACATCGCAGCCCATTGGCATCAGTAACTCCACACGGCGAGTGTTCATGAAGGGCCTGACCTATTAAGAACGTTTTCCTAATGGTCCTTAACATCTCAGCCTCCCACATCACCCTAGCCCAGAGTCATAGATTGTCCTTATGGGATTTCAAATTTGCAAGGAATCTTGATCATTTTTTTGATAATGGGCGACGGGCAGAAAATTTCAGTCCTAATTCCAGTCTAATCAACAGCCACAATTTCTGTACATTCAATACCAACTCTTTTAGGCGCTGTGGCGAGAACAGTTAAAAACAAAACAAAACAAGAATTTCCGCCTTCAGGCAAAGTACATCCAGAGTAGGGAGACAGATCCAAGAAAAAAAGACAAAGTGCAGTGCGTCACTATGACGTAGGACGAAGCAAGGGGGGCAGTCAGATACTAGTCCTATGACTCCCACAAAACCTAATCCCGAGAGAGCCCTTCCGGGTCACACTCGCCCCAGCCAGGCTTCAGATTCGGCTCAGGGCCCCGCCTTCAGGCCCTGGCCCCGCCCACACCCTGATGTCATTTTCCCGGGCGGCGCTGCATTGACCTGGCCAATCGAAAGCCGCAGAACCTGCTCTGGCTCCGTTAAGCCCCGCCCCGTGAGTCGACGCGCGGCGACGGCGATGGGGCCGGGCCGCTGTTTGGCGCGGCGGCTCGGGCCGCTGCTGTGGCGTAGGGCCCTTCCTCCGGGAGCAGGGCCCGCGGCAAGCGCGGGGCCTCGACTTCGGCCGCTGGCCGTGGGGCGACTGCTGGCGGGCCCGGCGCCCGGCCGGGTCTGCCTGATCTCCGACCGTGCTCGCGGCCTGCACGGGGGGCCCGGCCTGGAGGAGCTCCGGGAGCGGGCAGCCGGCGAGCGTCGCCCCGAGTCAGGCACAGCAGGTACGGGCGTGAGGGAGGGCGGCGGCGGCCCCCTCGGGGCGGCCGGGTCCCAGCTGAGGAGGCTCTGAGGTCCCCTCTCAGCATTGCTCTTGGAGTCACAAAACTACAGCCCCGGAGCTGGAAGGGACTTCCGAGGTAGTTGGCGCCAACTTTGCCATTTCACAGTGAAGAAGCTGAGGCCCAGAGATGAGCTGACTTCAAAACTCCAGGCGTCCGGACGGTCACACCGACCCCTTGGCATCACAACCTCACTGTCCTCATCCCCCTTCACACTCTTCTTAGGGTCCCGAGAAATGGACTTGTCGAGAGTGTCGGGTCGTGAGGATTCTGAGGAAGAGCCGGGGGCTGGGGGCTACGGGGACGCGTAGGAAGCGCTAATAGGAGATGCCATTTTAGGTCCTCTAATTAGTGTAAGTTTTTAGAAACTTGAGAGATGGTAAATATCGCATCTGTGAAAGGGTAGATATGAGAGAGCGAGGTCTTAGTGGACTTAGCCACTAGGGCCTTGGGAGTCAGCTTTAGCACTTAAGAGATCTGTAAATTTACAGGCTCTAATAATAATCCAAGGTGAACAGAATATCTAAATCTCTACAGAAAAAAATTGTTTTCACAGATAACAGTTGTTACATGAGGCAAATGGCTTTTAAGAAAAACTTGAGGGTTCAAAATGAGAATCGCTGTTAAAATTTTAGCTCTGTTGGTTGATTTGGGGGCACACTTACTCTGCTAGGCCTCTTTCTTTATCTCTCCCGTGAAAGGTTGTGGACCACATACTACCTAAGAGCCCTTCCAGCTCACAGTTCTAATTCTGTAACTCTTTATGGCTGGGATTCAATTTAATATACTCCTGGATATCACCACCTCCCCAACTCGTGCTACTGTTTTTCTTTCTTTGTATGGCAGTTCTGTGTTTGAGGTGTTTGCTCATTTTCTTAAGTACTAGTGAACAGAAAGTCGTTTGTTGCTGATGTGTGGTTCTTGCATGTGGTAATAGGAAGGGTTGTGTGGTGGCTTTATGTAACCTGAACACCCTTCCCATAAAAGTTGAGCAGTGCTATATGAAACCAGTGCCCAGGTTCAGCTTCCAGAAGGCCTGAGGGCCCTGCCATCTTTCACAGCATTTTAGATCTTAACACTCTCATGGAGGAGCAGTTTCACTGTCAGCTGCCCACATTTCTGGGTGCATACAGTGTCTGTCTTCTGCTTGGCCACCTGACACAAGCAAATCTTTGTGCATTTCAGATCATACTGGTCCCAAGTTTGACATCGATATGCTGGTTTCACTTCTGAGGCAAGAAAATGCAAGAGACATTTGTGTGATCAAGGTTCCTCCAGAAATGAAATATACAGATTACTTTGTGATTGGTAGTGGAACTTCCACCCGACACTTACATGCCATGGCCTACTACATTGTGAAAATGGTAGGATGCTTTCTTTTCTCTTTGGAACTGTTAACAGAATGGAATAGTATCAGCGCATCAGGCTGAGGATCAACACTTAAAAAGTAAACCCATCGTATGAGATTATAAAAGAAGCCCCAATTTTCAGAATTTGTGTGAGTGTTTTATGTTCTTTGATAGTGAAAGTTATGCGGACAAGTATCTAGCACCAGTGAGTCAGGATATTTCTAATTCTTGTCTCTTGTGACCACAAGGAAAAAATATTTAAAAAATAACCTGAAGGAGGCTAGAAGACAGTATAACCCAGAGGGATTTCTAGAGCAGCACTGTCCAGTGTGGTAGCCATTAGCCACATGTGGCTGTTTAATTAAATTAAAATTCAGAATTCATTTCTTCAGTTGTACTATGCACATTTTAGGTGTTCAGTGGCTACACGTGGCTAGTGGCTACCATATTGGACAGCACAACTGTAAAACATTTCCCTAACTGCAAAAAGTTCTATGGGGCGGTGCTGGCCTAGGTCAAATGTTTGAGCGTGTCCAGTGTTCCCAAGCACTGTGCTGGGTATTGGGAAGATAACAATGGAAAAGATTTAGTCCTTGCCTTCCGAATTCACCAGTCTAGTTAAAGAGAAGGCAGTTCATTTTCCAACAGGACTGAATATGAATCAGAAGGAAGAAAATGTACTTGGAAGCCTTTAGCTGATTCTGATACTACTGTGCCAGGGGAACATACCTCTCACCTTGTTGAAAATTGACGATAGAGGGGACAGATAAGACCAAAAGAATAGCTGGGATTGCCTAGAGAAGGGTGGTAAATTAAGCAGGGGGCTGAAAACAGAACCCTGGTGCAACACGGCAGAGCAAAGGAAGATTCCAAAAAGGAGAGTGGTTGGAGAGACAGAAAGAGAACCAAGAGGGCATGGAGAGGAGTTGTAAGACAGGGTCCCGGGGGCTCTGTCAGATGGAATAGTGAGTGGGGCAGAGTAAGATGAAGACTTAGGAGTGACCATTGCACTTGGAGATATAAAAAGAATGATGGGTTTTTCAGAGAAGTTTATGTGGAAGAGGAAGGGCGAGGGAAGAGTAATTACTTTTACAAAAATTTTAGATGAGCAAGGAGAAAAATACAAGGTCAAGACAGATTTGTTGTTTGTGGTAAAATAAACGGAATGTAAAACTTAACATTTTAACCATTTTTAAGGGTACAGTTAAGTGGCATTAGTTACATTCATGTTGTTGTGCAAGCATTACAACCATCCATCTCCAGAATGTTTTTCATCTTGCCAAACTGAAACTCTGTACACATTAAACAATAACTTCCCATTCTGGCTCCTCCCCGAGCCCCTGGCAACCACCATTCTGCTTTTTGTCTCTATGAATTTGACTGCTTTAAGTACCTCATATGAGTGGAACCCTATCATATTTGTCCTTTTGTGAGTGACTTATTTCACTTAGCATGTTTTCAGGGTTCATCCATGTTGTAGCATGTGTCAGAATGTCTTTCTTTTTAAGGCTGAATATTCATTTTATTGTATGTATGTTCCACATTTTATATATTCATCCTTTGATGGACATTTGGGTTCCTTTCACCTTCTGATTATTGTGAATAATGCTGCTATAAACATGAATGTAGAAATATCTGTATATGTCCCTACTTTTAATTTCAGAAGCGAAATTGCCAGATCATGGTAATTCTTTTCCATAATGGCTGCACCTCTTTACATTCCCACCAGCAGTGCACAAGGGTTCCAGTTTCTCCATGTCTTTGCCAACACTTATTTTCTGGTTTGTTGATAATAGTAATCCTAATGGGAGTGAAGTGATATCTTGTGGTTTTTGATTTGCATTTTCCTAATGTTAGTGATGTTGAACATCTTTTCACGTGCTTATTGGCCATTTGTATATCTTTGGAGAAATGACTTTTCAAGTTCTTTGCCCATGTTTTAATCAGATTGTTTTTTGTTGTGAAGTTGTAGGAGTTCTCTATATATTTTGAGTATTAACCCCAAAGCAAGTATGTTATTTGCAAATATTTTCTCTCATTCTGTAGGTTGCCTTTTTACTCTGTTGAGTGTCCTTTGATGCACAAAAGATTTTAATTTTGATAAAGTCCAGTATATCTGTTTTGTTGTTGTTGCCTGTGCCTTTGGTGTCATATCCAAGAAATCATTGCCAAATCCAGTGTCATGAAGCTTTTTCACTGTTTTCTCCTAAGAGTTTTATAGTTTTAGTCTTACATTTAGGTCTTTCTTTGATGCATTTTGAGTTTTTATAGATGTGTAAGGTAAAGGTCCATCTTCATTCTCTTGCATGTAGGTATCTAGTTTTCCTAGCACTATTTGTTGAAAAGACTGCCCTTTCCCCAGTGAATGGACTTTGCACCTTTGTTGAAAATCATTTGACTCTGTGGGCTCTTTACTTTATTTATTATTGATCTGTATGTCTCTTTTGATCACTATTTTGATTATTGTAGCTTTTTTAGTAAGCTTTGAAATTTTACTACAGTTTGAGAGCTGCAACTGTAGTCTTCCTTTTCAAGATTGTTTTTGGCTATTTGGAGTCTCTTTAGATTACATATAAAATTTAGGATGGATTTTTCTATTTCTGCAAAAAAAAGTCATTGGGATTTTGATAGCAATTGCATTGAATCTGTAGCTAGCTTTCGGTAGGGTGGTTTTTGGTTTTTTGCAGGTTTTTGTAGTCTTTTTTTTTTTGCTGAGGAAGATTGGTCCTAAGCTAACATCTGTGCCAGTCTTCCTCCATTTTGTATGTGGGATGCCGCCACAGAATGGCTTTATGAGTGGTGTGTAGGTCTGAGCCTGGGATCTGAACCCACGAACTTCAGATTGCTGAAGTGGAGCGTGTGAACTTAACCACTAGGCCACTGGCCAGCCACTATGGGAGTATTGACATCTTAACAATATTAAGTCTTCCAAACTATGAATACAGGGTGTCTTTCTATTTATCGGCGTCATCTTTAATTTCTTTAGCAATGTTTTATAATGTTCAGTGTACAAGTCTTTTGCCTCTGTGGTTTATTTCTTATTTTATTTTTTTGATTCTATTGTAAATGGAATTGTTTTCTTAATTTCCTTTTCACGTTGCTCATTGTTAGTGTATAGAAACACGACTAGTTTTTGCATGTTGATTTTATATTTTACAACTTGGCTGAATTCATTTATTATAACAGTTTTTTTGTGTGTGGAATCTTTAGGGTTTTCTACATATAAGATCCTATTGTCTGTGAACAGAGATAATTTTATTTCTTCCATTCTAATTTGGTAACCATTTTTTTCTTGCTCTAATTGCTCTGGCTAGAACTTCCAGTACTATGTTGAATAGAAGTGGTGAAAGTGGGCATTCTTGTCTTGTTCATGATCTAAGAGGAAAAACTTTCATTCTTTTGCCATTGAGTATTATAGCTGTGGGCTTTTCATATATGGTCTTTATTATCTTGAGGTGGGAGTGTTTTTATCATGAATGCTTGTTGAATTTTGTCCATTTCATGTAGGTTATCCAATTTGTTAGCATGCAGTTTTTTATAGTACTCTAATAAGTTCTTTTAATCTAAGTTGATATCCCCTTGCTTGTTTCTGATTTTAGTTATTTGGTCTTCTATTTTTTTCTTATTCAGTCTAGCTAAAGATTTGTCTATTTCATTGATCTTTTTAAAGACCCAAATCTTGGTTTCATTGAATTTTGTCTCTTTTATTTTTCTCTGCTTATTGTTTCCTTCCTTCTGCTAGCTTTAATTTGTTCTTCATTTGCTAGTTCTTTAAGGTATAAATTTTGGTTGTTGATTTGGGAACTTCTTTTTTCATGTAAGCATCTATAGCTCTTGATTTCCCTCTTAGCACTGCTTTCATGGCTTCCCTAAGTTTTGGTAGGTTGTGTTTTAATTTCATTTGTTTCAAGATATTTTCTAATTTCCTTTATGATTTCTTCTTTGACTCATTGGTTTTTTTTACATGTTTGTCTAATTTCCACATATTTGTGACCTTCTGGTTTTCCTTCTGTTGATTTCTAGTTTCATTGTGATCAGAAAATATACTTTATATGATTTGTCTTTCTGAATTTATTATGACTTATTTTGTGGCCTAACATATGATCTGTCCTGGAGCATGTTCCATGTGCACTTGAGAAAAACGTATATTCTGCTGTTGTTGAGTGGAATGTTCTGTTAATGTCTGTTAGGTCCAATTAGTCTTACCCTTTTATCATTATATAATGTCCTTTGTCTCTTGTACTGATTTTTCACTTAGTCTGTTTTGTCTGATATTAGTGTATTTGTTGTTTTAGACAATTCATGGGATCTGTTTGGGAACAGAGACATGAAATAAAATTCCATTAGCATTGTCATTAAGGTAGATGAGATGGAATCAATAGAACTGAGATCTAGCTTCAAAACAGGAAGGCAGCATCTACCTTCCCTGAGAGTAAAGGGGAGCTGGGATGGACAGAAGGGATGATACAGGTGAAGACCAGATGTTGAGTGAGCTTAGGCCTCAGAAACGCCTTGGTGAAGGTCTAGGGTGGCTCTGTCAGAAGGGTTTGGCGGGATGCAGGAGAGAAGTGTAGGAGGAGGTGGGTAGGATTTGGGGGGGGGGAAGTTTCCCTATGTTATTAATTATGAGTCTAAGTATAACTATGAGGAATGAGTAAGCTAGTTCCCAAATTAAGACCAAGAGAAATACATCTATTTCCTCAGAGCAGAGACTCCCCCCATCTCCTCTCCCTTTAATGTGTAACCTGGCTTTTTTCAGTACAAATACCTGAAATGTAAAAGTGAGCCTCATGTTAAGATCGAAGGGAAGGACACTGATGACTGGCTCTGTGTGGACTTTGGTAAGTTATTTTGACACATTTTACAGATAAATATTTGGTATAATGCTAATCTTGAACTACTTTCACTTGCAGAAGGAATGGGATCAAATTGCTGAGTTTTTCCATGTAAAATTTTTGAAATTTAAAGCAAGTTTTATTTAGTTATAACCCAGGTGGTCTTATTCACATGTGAAATCCTCACCTAACTTGGTATGTATATTACTAGCCATACAAGTCAGAAAGCTGGCGGAGAACAGAATGGATAACGTGTAGAGATGGGAGAGATCTCTTGGTGGTGGTAGAAGGCTTGGGGTACATGTAACCTTGGCCTTAAATAACTCAGATGAAGTGAAGATGAAGCGCATTCCAGGCACAGGGAAGGACAAGAGCAGAGGACTGGAATTTTGAAAAGACCTAACAAATTTAAATATTAATGTATGGTTTCAAAGTATTTCCCCACAAGATATTACAAAAGGAAAAACAGTAACTGAAGAACTGTGAAGTGTCTGAGATTTTATCTTACTTGTAAGCTAACGAGTTAGCTGGCCAGTTCATGGATATTGGTAAAAGACTCAAGGCTGTTCCTGGCTTAGAGATGAAGGACAGTTACTCACGGCAACAGCAGCAGGCAGCGGCAGCAGTTGTGCACCAGGTTCCCTGAGCCCGTTTCTATAGAGCAACACAGGGCCAGGTGACACCTGCATACAGTTCTAAGAGAAGAGGCCTGAGATTAGGATGTCCACATCTTTTATAATGGGCGGGAAGTAGGCCTGCATTTGCTCTGGTGGAAGACACTTTTTCTGCCAAGGCTGTAAGTCAGGGCTTCTCGGCTTTGTCACTATTAACATTTTGGACCAGATAATTCTGATGGGGGTGGGAGGACTATCCTTTGCATTGTAGAATGTTTGAATGAAGAGCCCTTCACCTCTGCATCCCCCAATTGTGAAAATCAAAAATGTCTCTGATTGAGGGGCTGGCCCCATGGCTGAGTGGTTAAGTCTGCGTGCTCTGCTTCAGTCGCCTTGAGTTCATCGGTTCGGATCCTGGGTGGGGACCTACGCACCTCTCATCAGGCCATAGTGTGGTGGCATCCCACATAGAGGAACTAGAATGACCTACAACTAGGATGTACAACTGTGGGCTGGGGCTTTGGGGAGGAAAAAAAAAAAAAAAGATTCACAACAGATATTAGCTGCGGGCCAATCTGCTCACCAAAAAGAGTCTCTGATTGAGAACCACTGCCGTAAGCAAACCTGCCCTTTGCTCTGGAGGGAGGTAGTATCTCTTTCTGTGACTCTTTGCCATACAGACATCCTTGAAGATAGTCCAGAACAAAAGGCAGTCAGTGCTTTGCTCACAGGATATTTAGAAATGTGATACCTATGGAGAACTGTCTTCCAAGAGAAACCTGACAGACCCCCACCTTTAGTCACTTGGATAAAGTTAACATCACCAGTAATGTTACATATTGACATCGTGTTCCTCTTGTATGATGCACTGAGAAAACTGTGGTATTTTTGCAGGATGGGGTCCATAATTTGCATTTCTAACAAGTTCCAAGGTGATCTGGGGTTCATACTTTGAGAACCACTGCTCTAATTGTTACAGAGATTTGTGAGATCATTCATTGTAACTCTTATCTGTCCTTGATAGGCAGCATGGTGATTCATTTGATGCTTCCAGAAACCAGAGAAACCTATGAATTAGAGAAATTATGGACCCTACGTTCTTACGATGACCAGTTAGCTCAGATAGCACCTGAGACATTACCTGAAGACTTCATTCTTGGAATAGAAGATGACACTTCATCCCTGACTCCAGTGGAGGTCAAATGTGAATAAAATGATATGAACTGCTTTAGTCATTTCAGATTTGGATTGAGTCACTTCTTAAAAATATAGCTTCTAAACCCTGCCTCGTTCATTAGATTGTTGTCAAAACAAGTCTTAATCTGTGGGCACTCATGCTGACATGTGGAATTTGTAGGTAAATGAGCTAATTCTCACACCAAGGATCAGTACATTCAAGCTAATCTTTATTCCTGAGATCCCAGCAGGATTCAGGGATCCTCGGAGTTAGCACTGACCCCTGTGCTTAACTCAGGCTCTCTGCTCAGAGTTTAATTTTGTTTAAATCTTATTCTGTAGAATGGAATAGCCAAAAATTTTTTATAAAATAAAGCAAAACATATAACCACCCCACTGGTCCTCTATTACTTAAAACCTCTAGTTCTTAGTTCATATGCAACAGTGTCACCAAGGTTCACAGTAAGTACCACGGAATGGAGAAGATAATTTACTAGTAGATATTGGTGCTTACCTTGAGACTGACATAGTATTACTAAAAATCTGTTCAAGTTTACAGTTTGACTAAATTCAGAACATTCACATTTATTTGAAAAACCAGAAATAAAACATACTACACATCACGCTGCACCTAATGATGAAAACCTTTATTCTGCATCAAGGTATCTGGAAAATGAAGCTGCATTTGGGGCACATTACAGATGAGGAATGATCCATATGCGGTGAGTACAAAACTCAATTACAGAATTATTTCCTAGCTATTACCAGATACTCCATAACCAATGCTTAATTGAAAGGAAAACATGATTTGCCATACTAAAAGGCTAGAAGTGAAATATGACAGTTTAAACCAGGAGATATAAATGTAGCACCTATCTGTATAAAAAACCACAAAACACAAATATTGGAAAAATCAAATACTAAGAAAGAGTTCTGGCCTTAAGTGCATCTCACCTGTCCAACCAGAAAGCCAGTCCATGATTTTTTTTTTTTTTAGCAATTCATTGTATGAAAAAAAATTATGAATGTTAGATGAATTCAGTGACAAAAAGGGCACTTTTTGGCTACAACTACAAAATAAACTGGTTTTCGGAAAACATTTAGGAAAACATTTCAAGTCATTTTCAGAATATCTAATTGAGATGGTGATCTTCAGAAAAATTAGTCCATGTAGAAATTCATCTTGAAATACGAATGAGGCAAAATGATTTTTTTTAAAGGGTTATTATATATGCCCTTTAGATCAGTGTACTATGATGACTGTGATCACTTAATGAACAAAAGAAACACAAACAATTTTGAGAGCAGCATGGCCGTGGAGACCACCCACACCCACACCCACATAACTGTACATCCCGGGCTTTGTCATCAAGCTAAGGAATGGGCAGATGAGTTCAGTATCCAAGGTCAAATGTTCTATCACAGTCATTCAAATTATATTCCAAAAATTATTTTCTTGTACTGCCTGCCTTTTGACTTATTTTCAAATAACTGGTTGCACAGAATATAGAATCCTGCTACATTTTATGTGATATTTTAAGATGGCCTTTCATTTCTCTTACCATTGTTTTAAAAATCTTCAAAATAGCTTAGTGAGGCTCATGACAGTGCCTGGCACATGAAGATGTAGCCTCTTATTGCCTTTAGACACTGCCACACCATCTGACTGCCCCCTTGGTCTTCACAAAGCACTTCTTTTGTGGTCTGCTCAAAGCATAGACCATCTGGTCTGAAGTGTATTGGCAAACTAAGCCTCTTATAAGACAAGCTGAAGCTTGCTTTTTGCCAGTCAGTTTAAAGTCCACAGGGGCTGCATCTCTTCACTGATGTACTTTCTTTAGGTAGTGATAGTCAAAAGCACAAAGCATTTATGCATTCAATCACATAAACAAAAAACTGAAGTCTCCTGAAACCATTTAAACTAGCCGTTCCCAAACCTCCTGCAACCACTTTGCTCTGTTAGTACCATCAAAAACCTCTACCATAAATGAAAAAATGGTATTGCTGCTCTCCAAATATAGGCACTGCTCCATATCATTGAACATTTATTGGATTTGCAAACTAATAACTGTGTCAAAAGCCTCAAAAAACCTGAAATGAATTTTCCAGCTTTACTGTTACCAGCCAGAAGTAAAATTTTTTCTGTTATTTGCCTGTTAGCTAATTAAATTTATTTTTAAAAAACTGTTGGACTTTTATCTTTATAAAGTATATAAAATTTTCAAAAAAAATTTTTTTGCTTTCATTGCATTTCTGAATACCTGAGGTAGTTGAGTAAAAAATGCACATTTAATACCCCTGCCACCACCGTTCAGCACTTCCCTTAGGTTATTCATGTTAGTGTTAGATAATAAAACCGAGAATAGTTTTTCTATGCTAATAGCTTAACATTTAAGTTCCTGTAATAATTCTATTCTGATCCAATATTACTATTGGACTTAGGAACAGTCTATTTTTATTTGATGAATTTAGTGAATGCATCATTAAGCCAATTTCTGGCATTATGGGGGAATATTAAGAAAAATTAGAATATTTGTTACATTGAGAATACAACAAAAGGGAAGTGCAGAGCTCCTCTCCTTCCCTCCCTCCCCCCCTTATTTTTTTTAAAGCTGGGTGTCATACATTTCAGAGAGCATAAAGTATACATTCTCACAGAGACAGGAGTTCAAAAGTTGCCTGGTCCTCAGAAACAACTGGCTAGGTCAAAACTTGTGCATGTGGTTCTGGATGGGGGTTCAGCGCCCGTCTGTTGGTTAAGCAATCTGTCTTTGGTTTGGCATCTGCCTCTGTGGGGGGCCGTTTCCTGAGCCTTTACTTCCGTCTTGACTGAGGTGGTCCACTTTGCAGAGCTTTCTGCTGTTGGTGCTGCTTTACCTGAGTCAGAATTTCCTGAATTTTTCTCTGGGCAACCTGCAGAAGAAGAGAACTTTGAAATTTCTACCTGATCAAAAGTTACTTAAAGTTATTTTACTCTTCCATTTCAACAACTTCAAATAGAAATTTACTTGAAGATTAAGGATACATACTAATTAGTTTGCTAATAGAGTCTCTGAAATCACCTGCTAAAAGGGGGATTAAAAGTGTTAAGCACCAGACAATCTTAAATATTTATATGGGGTGGAGGGACCCATGGGAGAATTGCTTCCATTTGAGAAAGAAGTGAAAGAGCTTGCTCATCACATTAGAGCCCACTTGCCTGGCAAGCATAGAAGTGACCAGTTATTTTAACAACCACTTGGTCATTCTCATCAGGCGTCTGGTCACGGGGGACAACTACTTCTGCGCTTGACAAATTCTGGAGCTCATTCACCTGAAAAAGGTAAATACAAATCACGATAAGTTTTGTTTTTTTTTTAATTACCATTTCCTGAGCACTTACTGTGTGCCAAACACTATGGCTTTACAAATTTCATCTAATCCACTAATAATTCTATCAGGTTATTAGTATTATATCCATTCCAAGGTGATTAAAACTAAGGCTTAGCCAAAGAAATTGACTTGCCCAAAGTTGTACAAGTGAATGGCAGAACTAGAATCAAACCCTGAAAGTCTGATTCCAAAGTGTACACTCTCAGTCACTCCAAAATTGTAAATAGCTTTGAAAACAACTTAGCAATTACATGTGTTATAGAGTAACTGGAAATCATTCGCTTTTTTCAGTTATAAAGGTAAATGAAATTTTAAAAAATTTTCTATGTCATTAAGTGTCTGAGCGATAAAAATTAAAAGCTGAAGTTATATCAACAGAAAAATGCTAAATGCCCCTTATAAATACGAGACAGTCCTCTCACACAAAGTGGTCTGAAAGAAAGGCATTAGTGGCCTTCACCACTAGTGGCTGACACCAACACTCAGACAAGAGGAACAAAAGGCAGTGTTCTCCAAACCTTGGCCCAGATGGTCCTGCTTTTTATAAATTAGCCAAAATTCAGGGACTTGGAACTCCTAAGTACCTTTCAACGCTTTCCCTTTCATACCACTGTGCACAGGTTTTGCTGAAGTACTTGCCGTTTTGCCTCCTTTTCCAATAACTCTGCCAGCAGCAAAGGATGGCACTCTGATATGAGCTTCAAGTTTCACCTCTTCTTTAGGACTAACGAAGTTTTCTTCTTTAATTTTTCCATAAATTCTTCCCTGAGCCTACAGATGAGAACATATCCTATCAATGTCATTCATGTAGGAAACACAAAAGGTCCATTAACTTTAAAGATGGCCCAAATCCACCGGAATAGCCGTTTACAGTGATACATCTGCATTTGATAGACTGTTGACGATCACATAAGAGACGGAGAAATTAGGAAGCCCTTGAAAAGGCTGATAATAACTACACATCACAGAGGAGGCAACTGAATGACTGATGAAAGAAGAATAAACCATATTCTCCTGACAAAAATAGTTAAAGGCAATTAGTAGTCAGCCTAACTAAAAATTAATAAATGTTTGTGGGCAAATAGCCATTTGCTCTCCAGTCCTAAAAGGTGAAACCTCTCCTGCTGGCAATAAGAAAGTAATTACATTTTTCTTGAGCAAGAAACTAGGGAAGAACTACAGAGCCAGCTGTGCCAGGCTCCTAAGAACCAAGTTTATGTCTAAATGGCCAGTGAGAAACCTGCTGAGATGAATTTTCTATTTAAACACGTTTCTTCATCTTAGCCAAGTGATTTCTACTTTGAATAATAAAGCTACAAAATCAAGTTAACATACACTTGTGATATTTATAGTTACCACATCCTGTCACATACTGTGTACAACTAGAAGTTATACATTAGAAACCTCTCCTATTATGTACAACCGTCAATTGGCTGTGGTATACACCAAAGGAAAAAGAAGTCAGAGTTGGTTTAATCCGACAAGCTGCCAGGGCAAATCACAAAACCAAAAGTATTAAACACATTTTCATTGGTACAGAAATGATAAGCTCATTCTAGGGGATTACAGAAAAAACAAAGTCCATTTTGGTACTCTCTATTGCATTCATCCTCAGAGTCTCAGGCCACAGGTGTAGCAATTGAACAAAGGACACTAGGGATAGACACCATCCTCCAAAACAGAAGCTCTTGAATTCAGAAGAGAACATGGGTTAGGAAGTTTACTGTTCCTTAGATCTCTAAAATAAAATAATTCATTTGTGGTTATCACTGATTACATAAATGAGATGTAAGCATTATAGCTTAAATGTTCCATTTAAGATAACTGTACAACATTGGAGGATACAGGGAAACAAACTGAATTTCCCAGCATATAAGCATTATAGGAGTTGCAAGACAGTAATTCTATTTATCAAATACTAAGAGCTCAGCACCAAGAAACATGCAATAATTGATGTTTGTATCTATCTGTTGTGATTTCAAACTAAAAGTGACTGACCCTGTAGGTTCGGGATAGGAAACAATTTTCAACATTTCTGACTTATGATTTGAACTGCCTGGACCACAAAACTGGTGTGAGGGAGTAAATTTTTTCACCTGAGTTTGAGCCTAGCCAACTGCACCCACATCTCAAAGCACCTCCTTTTGTTTCCTGTTCTTCCTGTAAATGAAGTGGAAAAAAAACTTTGGATTTTTAGTGAAAAATGGCCCATAGGAAATAGAGATGAAAGAAAGTGATTAAGAAGCGGGGAGGAGGGGATAGGTAGGCACTATTACTAGCCACATTTTAGAGCTAAGAGAACTAAGGCTTAAGCTTAAAGAGTTTTCCTATTACACAGCTGCTAAGTGGTAGGAACAAGACATGGGTTTTGGATAAATTAGCTTCATCTCAATTCAGTAGCTGCTTTTACCTATGGCAAACAAGATACCTGTACAAAGTTTTATGGGAGAAATCATATGCTCAAAAGTATGTCTTATTTGTGAACTTGAGGATTTGGCAGTCTTAGTTGGATCTACCCAGAGTCTGCTGAACCACCACCACCACCACATTTATATTGTGCTTCCTATGTGTCAGGCACTGTTTTAAGCACTTTATGGATTTTTTTAAACCTTATAACCTCCTTTAAACCTTGTAGGTGCTCCTAACGCCATTTTACAGATAAGGAACTAGCCAGAGAGGGGCTAAGTAACTTGCCAAGGTCACACAGCTAGTAAAATAGTAGAGCTAGGATTTGAACCAGCAGCCTGGCTGCCACGTCTCTGCTCTTCATCACTGCTGTACCACCTCTCAGTAGACAATGTGAGGCAGCCCAGCTCCAAAAGCCCCACACCCCAATAAACATGAGCAGTGGTTCATACCATTACAGATGCCACAAGCCTGCCTGCCATTTATTCCTCTAAAATTCAAAGGATTAGAGTGATTTGTGGAGAGACTATAGACAAGGGCTAAGAGAGTTAATCCAAGGGTGAGACGAAAAGGGGGCATTGTATTTCAAGGTTAAGGCTTTTCAGGGACAAGAGGAAAAATTTGGGAACAAGTTTTCCAAGGCATATTAACCAGATGGGTTTATAAATTTCATTCTTAAGGTCTCACCTGCACATGTGATAATGAGGTGGTTGAGCACATTCTCCTTTGGGAGATAGGTAAACCCAACAACCAATGCAGAACTCTCAAAATCAAAGACTTTTGGTTAATTTTTGAAATGCAACTTTGGGTATGTTTTTGCTCTGTTCTTAGTCTTATGAATTTCCATTGAGAGATTCTTTCTCCTGAGTATTAGATATATTTAAGGGAGAAGCTAGGTTATGAAGTTTCTGAAAAGGTGGCATTAACATTTGCCACATCTGTTCATTTGTTACCTGTCCATAGACTCTAGAGCACATACCTTGAACTGAGCCTCTGGTGGCCCGGTGATAATCACCATCCTCACTTTAGCATCTGGTGCTTCAGCTGGAGCGATCTGTAACAGATCCATCAAGGGGTTATGACACTTTCAGGTGCCACTGATAGAAATGTTACACAAACCAGCCTGACATCTGCACATGAATTACTGAAATGTAGAATGAAAGCCTTCTGGAAGGAAGTTATGCAGAGGCAATGATTAATGTGGGTTCACTACTTATGGCCTCTGCCATATACAGTGTACTTACACTGTGCTTGGCCCTAATGTAAAAGCCCACATGCAATCTCTCAGCTAATTCTCACTACATCCTCATGAGGTATTGCCTCTACTTTACAAATGTTCCGGGAAGCTGAAGGCTGGGAAGCTGAGTTACCTGGCCCATGATCACACAGCTAATAGAGCTCAGGGGAGAGCTGGGTCTGTCTCCACTGCCTATGTTCCTAATCCCTATGCAGTGGTGCTCAAGTGTAGTCTTTGGCCCAAATGCATCAGAAACCCCTCAGGCTTCCTGTATGTGCAAGAAACTGCTAAGTTCACAAATCTAAGACAACTGGTAAATTCCCCTAAAGTATGCTCATTGGAGTAACATATGAGATAAACATTAATTTGGCAGAAGAAAAGTAAACTCAGACTTTTCTATTTTTGTACAGTATATGAAATTACACAAAAAGCCTGGGCTGGGGAAATATGGCCGAGACTATTGAAGGGAGAGACCACCACTATTCCCTCAGTGTCGTGGTGAGAAAGGATTTTGGGACCTGGCTGGTAGTTGTTGTTTTAAAAGAAAAAAGTTCGCTAGGTATTTATTGTGCAAGCAGCAATTCTGATTATTTTAAAAATATATTATTACTATGTAATAGGAAGCAAAAAAGAAAAAAAAACTACCCCAAATTCTGCCACTCAATATGATTGCTGTCAATTCCTTATATAGTCTACTAGGCCTTTCCCTACCTGTTTACACTCATAAGAAGGTTGTTACTTTTCATGGAGTTAGCTTTATTTTAAGGGAGGGAGAAAGTAGAACATTTCTGTCACCTAGAGCCAAATTCTTACTATTCCTACTTTATGCAGGGTCCTGACTAATTTTGAGTCTATAAAATAAGCAAATAATTACTTCCTTTTAGTCCTAGCTCTTAGGGTTATTCACAAGGAAACCCCTAGAAAGAAGATATTGTTCTTCATTTTCTGACTAGTTTTCTTTTGTAAAAAATACCTTTGTCAGTACTACTGGTGATAGAGAGCTGGGGCTTAGGGGACTTGTACGCTGAGGTTAGGAATATATATTGCTATCATCTCTCAAAAGCTTGAAAAAAAGCACATCTCCTTTGACTCACTAACTCTACTTCTGTAGACTTACGTTAAAGAATACGGTTGTGTGTAACAGTTTGGCTAAAAGAACTTTGTTCATCACTGCACTATCTGTGCAGGATGAATTAGGAACAACCTAAATGTCCAGTAAGTGAACACAAATAATCATGGTTTGGTGATACCAGATATATGCCTACTAAAGTAAGTACATATATGGAAATTTACATATATGTAAATCTAGCAGTGTCAAGAGTGGTGGTGAATCTTTCAGATTATGCATATTTCAGACTTTTTGGAAACAAAAACATTTTAACCTCAAACCTCCACGAAAGCCAGAAAGAAAAAGAACCAAACATCTGAGTACTCAATTCTTTTTGTTCATGAAATGTTTATTATAGTTTTTCCAGAATCAATCTACTGGGTTCTTTTTGCATGTGTGAGCATGTGTCAAAGATTTATTTTTAACTCATTAATCAGGAAACTAGCAGGATAGTAAAGTTGGTTCACCACTTAATCTTTTACCATGTCTTTCCCTTTATCCATTTATTTATTTTGGCTGCATTTCCTCTTCATGTATTTTATCTTTTGCTATAAGGGAGCATGAGGGCTATTTCTGTGTGTTTTGCTTTTTTATTATTTACTTAGTTTATTTACATGCAGTATAATTCACTCCCTTTGTAACAAATCATAATTGTGTAACCACCACCACAAAGTAAAAACAGTTCCATCAGTCCCCAAATTTCTTATGTTGCCTCTTTGTATTCAACCCTCTCTCTACCTCCAGCTCCTAAAACCACTGATTTTTTTCCTCCATCCCTATAGTTCCACCTTTTCCAGAACTGTCACATAAATGGGATCACAGAGTTTGTGGCCTTTTGAGTCGGACTTCTTTTAATACATGAGATTCATCCAAGTTGTTGTATGTATCAGTGTAGTTTATTCCTTTTTATTACTAAGTAATATTTATTGCATAGATGGACCACAGTTTATCCATTTGCCAGTTGACAAACATTTGCCTCTTCCCGTTTTGGGATAGTTTATAAATAAAGATGCTATAAACATTTAAGTGCAATTTTTTTGTCAACTCTATTCTTTTAAATAAAAATTTTTGTAAAAATTTTATAAAATATAACCAAAATAAAACCCCCAAAAGACTGATTGTTTTCCTAAAGAAAGCTGTCACTATATCAAGCCTTTGTCAACTTGTGTATTCCTTAAAACAAAAGGACCCATATATTTGATATTACATTGATTCTCAGCATATCAAAATACAGAATCTTCAGAACACACAGTTATCTATTCAGTGGACACCATTAGTTGTCCTCTGATATTTGTTACCCCACCTTCCATAATAATAAAATACTTAGCTGACCACACATGGACTACATTTCCCTGCTGGCCCACCAGCTACAGCCAGCCTCACAACGTAGTTCTGAGCAACGGAAGGTAAACAGAAATATCCTAAAGCAGCTAACAGGAAACCTCCTTCAGAGAAAAGTGGTTCTTTATGTCCTCTTCTACTGGCTGGACCAGACTTGACTGTTAGAGCACTGAATTGTATCGTTTGGGACCATGAGGAACCAAGGCCATAGAAGGGGAAGACGAGCTAAAAGGAATCTAGGTCCAAGGACTTGCTGGGGCAGAACCACAATACCAGCGCTGGATTACTTACCTCCAGACTACGTTTTTGGAGAAAGAATTTAACTTAGCTCGTTTAAGATACTGTTGTTTGGGGTTTTCTGTCATACCCTTTTTTTTTTTTTTTTTAACCTCAGGATAGACTGTCACATTCAATTCAAATTTTAAAGTGGCAAGGAGACCCATGCTTCTGTAACAATCTGTATTTAAAACACTGGGAGAGCCACAGCTGGCAGAACAGTACCTTAATAGAAGCTCCTGCAAAGCGAGAAAGCTGTTTGATATGCTGCCCCTGCTTGCCGATAATGGCACCAACAGATAAAGCTGGGATAAACAGATGAACAGTCTCTGTTTCTGATTGCTGTTGGAAAAGACAGACAGAACATACATGCTTATTTGGTACAAATCAGGCTGTTATTGTTGGCATTGGGACGGGGGCATCCTCATACGGTAGGAGTAATAGGATAGTTTCAGGAAAAACCACCACAGGAAGTTGACATGAGTTTACCTGACAGATCGAGAAGATCTCATATTCATCCTGAAACCATCTGCATTTAAAATGTCACTTCTCTACACAATTTCCTTAAACTTTAGAATGTCACCGAGTTACAGATTTAAAAGATATGTAAGTGTTATAAAGTTTAAATGTACTAGAATAGAGAGACAAGATTATGTCTAAAATTAAGCAAGATCCCCCATCACTGTATCCAAGGTAGATTCTTTTTTTTTTTTTTAAGATTTTATTTTTTCCTTTTTCTCCCCAAAGCCCCCCCGGTACATAGTTGTGTATTCTTTGTTGTTCTTCGTTGTGGGTTCTTCTAGTTGTGGCATGTGGGACGCTGCCTCAGCGTGGTCTGATGAGCAGTGCCATGTCCGCGCCCAGGATTCGAACTAACGAAACACGGGGCCGCCTGCAGCGGAGCGCGCGAACTTAACCACTCGGCCACGGGGCCAGCCCCCCAAGGTAGATTCTTAACAAGTAAATGAAGCAAACATGACAGCATCCAAAGATACCAACTCCACACTTTATCCATGTAGTTTTTGCTTCTTAAACACACAGCTAGTGAACTATTCTCAGAGGGAAAACCTCCTGAATCTCATTATGTATGAGTAAATCATGTAAAACCTTACCGCTACCATTCAATACGTATCATGCCCAAGCATAGGACAGGATTAGAAGACAACTAATTCACTTTAGTGGTAAAATTCCCTAAGATTCTTTGCCATATAATTCTTTATTCCTTCCATTTCTGCCTTCCCGTTGCACTTTACACATGGACAAATTGGGAAACGTTCTGAAGGCTAACTCTAAAAGGTTTTCCATAGATGGTTTTTCTCTGTATACTTCATTCTTCCTCATATTCCCACTTCAAGCTAGTTGTTCCCTTCCTGAGACTCTCTTCCAAGAGTGCTTCCTGCAGGGCTAAAGGACAACACTCAAGGGAAGAGTTCACAGTGACTGGATTCCTACAAAGGCCAATTCAAGGTTCAAGGATGTTACTGTTGAGCCAAAGGTTCTAAAATGCAGAAGTGGTACACATGTTCAGGAAGTTAACACTTTGTTTACCTTCTAACAATAAAAAAAACATGCTTCCAAGGATAAGTTAATTCTAAGAAATTTATTTCAAGAAATATTTTTAAAATATTATTTTTTAAGACAATTTTAGGTTCACAGCAAAATTGAGAGGAAGGTACAGAGATTTCCCATGTATGCCAAGAAATATCTTAAGATGAGCCACAACTGAATAAATGAAGTAAAACAAAATATGCCTTTGTTAAAAAAAAAAAAGTACACTTAGCAAACTAAGATTCTAGAGATGTTAGAAGATACCTTGCAATAAAATGTACGCATGAACTATACTTGCTAAGAAACACGTCATAGAACGCTCTCTTGAAACTTCTTATATTCCTATTATGTAGGATACTATAAATCTCGTTCCCAAGAGCTCAAGTTAATCCATCAGTACTGTAATATGTACACATACAGCCATAAAACAGCTGCAACCTAATTTCTAACTTTTTAATCTAAACTCTTCCCAGATTCTTTTAAAAGTCTCAAACAAAAACATGCCAACAGTTTTGCTTTGAAGCATCTCAGAAACTAGGGAAGCCTTTAGAATTTGATCATTTTAATCAGTTTTTGAAAATCTGAGTCAAAACAACAGCACTGAGCTCATTCATTTTTATTGGGTGTGGAAACAAATTTTGTGTCACTTAATGATGGTCCACCCAAATGACGTCGCCACTCAAAATTTGCTTTACCACACAAAAATTGCTAGTGGCATTAACAGCTCCATCTTCTCCCTGGTAAGCCCAGAGGGAGGGCAGAGAACAGGCCCTTTGACTCAGCAGTTCTAAGTTTATGCAACAGAGGTATTTGTACAAGGGCACAAAAACTTTTGTACAAAGATTTGATTGCAGCATTACATGAATTAGTTGAAACTTGGAAACTACACACACACACACACACAGCAGGGATGAGGTAAATCAGCTGTGGAGTATCTATTTGAAGAATGAGGTAGGGACCTATCAATGACATGCGAAGATATCCAGTGTATTGTTAGGGTAAAAAAGCAAATCAGAACATATTATTTGTAGTATTCTCCTGTTTATTTTTTTTTTGTTTAATACATTTTCCCCCATGAAACATGTCTGCCTGTCCTTTTATAGTTTCCCATGTCTTCCTTTTCACTAAGTTTTTGTCATTTTTCCTGAGCATTTGGCTTGAACGAATTAATTAAAATTATATGGGCTTGACACAGCTAATATTTGGTCAGTGAAGTTTTGCTGATTGATTTGGTAATCCTAAACAAGTTTTGACATTTTCAGATTTATTGACATTGTTGTATCTTAATTTTTATCTTATCTAATATCATTTCCCTTTTCTCATTTCCATTTTTTAATTGATAAATAGGCATCAGGTTTTCCTTTTATTTAAAGAACCAGCCTAGCCCTTTTATTATTTCTAGTGTTTCTGTTTACTATTCTATTTTTTAAAAAATCTTCGCTTCAGAGGAAGGAAACTACAGACTTAAAGAAAAATTCCTACCAAATAGAGTTGACTAAATCATGTCCTGTGAAATAGCCTGATAGCCTTCTGGTAAGTCTGTGTTGAGGGATAAATGCGTGCAGTGGCTGGTTCATCCATTCGTGGGCTTCTGCTATTGCTCATCAGCATCAATGTGTGAGTTCCTCTGTGTGAGGTGCTGTGCAATACCTCATTTACACCTCCCAACTGATAGAAACTAACAATGTTCCCATTTTAAACATAAGAAACTGAGCCAGAGAGGTTATGTCACTTGCACAAGGTCATATACTGACTGGTGTTGGAGCCAGGATTCAAACCTGGTTCTCTCTCTCTCTTAAGCTGTGTTCACAAAACAAAACAAAAAAAACAACAACACTATATACCCTGCTTCCACTGGGAATGGACATGCTTTGAAATATAGAGGTGCAGAAGTTACTCTCAAGAAAAATGCCCAATATAACTCTCCTTTCAAGGTGGTGCTGCCTTCCTTGGTCACGGCAGGGATCTGCCTTCGTATGACTTTCTATTAGTCAAAAGAAATCTCTTATGTATAGTTGGCAAAAGCTTAAGGCTTTGATCATCAACATGCTAAAAAGGGCATCAGAGATAGTGCTTTAAAATTTTTCTTTATTTTGAATAGAGATAACTAAAGATTAAGAATGATGTAAGGGAGGTCAAAAGGTACAAACTTCCAGTTATAAAACAAATAAGTCATGGGGATATAATGTACGACATGGTGACTACAGTTAATACTACTATATTGCATATTTGAAAGTTGCTAAGAGAGAAGATCTTAAAAGTTGTCATCACAAGGAAAAAAAATTTAACTATTTATGGTGACAGATATTAACTAGACTTGTGATCATTTTGCAATATATGCAAATATCAAACCATTATGTTGCACACCTGAAACTGTTTTGTCAATTATACCTCAATAAAAAAAATTTACCAAAAAAGATTACTTTAATTGAATCACAAACAAAAAAATGATGCTCTACTAGAACAAGGAACTGAAATCAACAGGTTTGTTGTCTCATCTGCAGGCACCCAATTTACACATGTTTAAGATACTTTGTAACTTAAGAATTTCAATGTTTGTTTCCACTATAAGAATAAAATAACCACATCACACAAGTTGGCAAGAAGAAACTCCACAATTCCGTCTTTACCTGACAGTTATTTTGCTGTATCTGAAGATGCTAAAGACCTTCAGAAAGTTTGGTTTCCAGTTTTTCACTAATTCGTATAATACTGCAATCAAATCTTTAAACATAAATCTTGTCTAATAGATATGCCAGGTCAGAGCATGAACATTTAAAATGGACAGATATTTCCAAATTCTCATGCTAATAAATTTATCTTACAGTCAATAAACGTATTAAAGGGGGAAATCATTTTAATTTGAACCATGCCTTTCATACTTATGAAAAACAAAGCAATGTATGATTCTAGACCCTACACCTAATTTTCTACAAATGATAATCATCTAAACTCTCCTCTTCCAAGTCTCTTCCCACCATGTACCTCATATTTCCTGTAAGCGTTCAACTCCAGGAAATATTCTTGACGAAAACCACTGGATTTTTTTCTGATCATTGGATTTTGTTTCTTCAGCATCTGTATAAGTAGATGTACTATATCCTTTACAACTTGTTATTTCTTTGGTATTCCGTTTCCCAGGAAGTCGTAACACTGCAGGTCTTAATATAAGTTGTCAGGTGAATGAACTCTCTTTTAACTCTACGTGCATTCTTAGAACAAACATACCAGAAGAGATTTTTGCCTTCCCACTAAACTCTTGACTGTGGAGATTTGTGATAGGGGCCTGTCCTGCACAACTTGGCCAAGTGACTTCTGTTGCTATTCATCAATGAAGAACATCAAATAGAATTATTTCATTCTTCAGAATATCCAAGTCATAAGAACACAGTGCCTCTCTTCGGAAAGCACTGTACCTCACAGCCTGCCAGTGTGTGATGCAATTACCATGTACCATTTATTCCAGAGGGACACTTTAAGACCTTTCTTATTTTAATAACTGGATATACCAACTGATATATGCTGACACTGACCATAAACTGTGCTCAATGTTGGTATCAATTTATTTTGTCATTCGGGTCCTTCTATTAAAACTATGTTAATCTTAACCAATCTTTTTTTAAGCAGAAATAGGATCTAAATATTTTATCTGAGAACATCCATATCATGTTCTTCTGAATAATGTACTTTTTTTTTGGTCTGGTGGTGATAAAGACCTTTTCAATGATCAGACTAAATCTAAAGTGTGACTCAACCAGATCTGTCCCATTGTATTTTGCCATTATATTTGTTTTCTGGGCCATGTTCCAGAAAGATTTTATATCACTTACAAAATATAATCTAGAAAGATAAAACAAAGGAGGTGAAGAAATAGGAGCATAGGGACCTGAACAGGAAAGATAAGATGAAGCCAGAAATGCTATTACACAAATTTCGCTCTAAGCTTCCTAGCAGCTAATTAAAAAATTAAAAGAAAAACAGTAAATCAGTTGCATGATTTACCATGTCCATAAGAAAAAAACTCTTCATTTGATTAGTAAAAACTACTTTTCCTGGGACTGATCCCCGAGAGCAACTTCTGAATGTCCTCAGAGGACTAACCTAATAGGCCTTGTCCTTAAAGCAAAAGTCCTGGAGCCTCGAAAG